TTAATTTAATTCATGTTTGTTACAATTCTGCCTCATACATTATTTACATATATAAAAAAATACTCTCAATTTTTGCATTGATGTATACATTGATTGATTAAAAAGATTTCCTCTTAATCATTATTTTTCCTTCAACTTACTTTTACTATAATATCTTTGAAACGTTTCTTTTTAGTTCCTTTTAAAATCAAAAATACTTTACAGAATTAAAGTATAAAACTGGATATTTTTTATTGTAATATGAGCTAAAAATAATTTAATCTTTTTAATAATTGTTTCCTTTATACTATTTACATTCTGTCTACATTTTAATTCTTTAAAATAGGGCAAAAAAATATTCTAACTCTAAAAAAGTTTCTATCAAATTACACATCATTCATATTTCAATTTTTTTGTGAAACACAAGTAAAGTTAATTACCAAATTACTTATAAAATTAATTGTTGCTTGAAATGGACGCCTCTATGTTTTTTCCTCGCATGTTTTTTAGTTTAGCTTTTTTTGCATGTGTAATAATGATAGATTTTAATTAAGTAATTAACATTTCTTAAAATAATGTCGGCGTTTCTGATGGAATAAATAATAACATGATATTTTTCTTCTTACAGAATGCATTAAAAGTATTGCATAATGGAAAGGAAGAGAACCAATATGATTTTAAAGTCTTATCAGATTTTAAAAAGATCTTTAGAAATAACAATTAGTCATGAAAATAACGATTTATTAATTTTAAGATGTTATGCAACATAAATTGATTTGTGGAAATTAGTAAAATTGCTTCATTGGTTACCTTTAAACAAAATTAAGGTAATTGATTTTAAATCCAAATAACTGGGACATTTTCATTATTTTCCGACGACTTTTCCAACAAAAATCAATGAGTTTCAGAATCGCTTTGAAATTTTCCTTTTAGCTAATTGTTGCTCATAAGTCTTTATAATGAGTCTCCATTTTGAAATCGTTAGGTGATTAAGTCTAAAATAAATCAAATTTCTTTTGTTTGTTAGTTTGAAGAATTTTAGACGCTTAGATAAAAGTATTGTTTTAAAGAATTTGAAGTAAATTTTCTCATTAGTATAAATTAGAAGTAAAAAATAGTGAATTATTTATAAATGAATGTCCCTTTATAAATTTAAACATATTTCTAATGAGTATTTATTTCAATTGTTTTCAGGAATACTTTAAAAAAACTATTTGAACAGTAGTGACATAAATACATAAAATGTCATTGCCAATAGAAGAAAAATAAATAAAAAATGGAAATTAAACATGATCTGCTAATAAATAAATTTTTGAAATGCAACTTAGAAACTCTTAAGAAGATTAAACCTTTTTGACTATGTTAATAGATCATAAAATAAAATATTTTTCAAAACAGCAAAGATAAGTTCTTCAAAAAAATATTGAATGCTTGTTTTTAAGCAAACTGCCATTTCAACAAGCAATGTTATTTTGACATGAAATTCTCATTTTAACAAAAAAGTCATTTAAAAAAAATACAACTGCACAAAATGACTACGTCAACATTGTGGTCAGTGCGAGCCTAGAACAGAATTCGTATGACTAGTTAACGCCAGGTTTCAACCCGGGTCACTTCATTCGGATGCGAGTGCTCTGTCCACAGAGACACGGAAGCTCTTGGTTCACTCTTGTTGTTAATAAGAAAAAATCTTAAACTGTCCTTATCTTTAAAGCATTACTTATTGAAATAAATTCAAGTGTAAAAACGTTTTAAACTACATTGACCCAACCTTAAAAAAATTAACTTACTAATTTTACTTGTATGATATTCAACAGAATAAAATAATTTTAGAAAATAAGAGAAAGTATAGAAAATAAGTGCAAAATGATTTGTAAAAAGTTATCCTACTGTAAGCAAAACTTATATACTCCTTATACTTGCTATATCTAAGACTTATATACTTTCAAACTTATATAAAACTTATTTAAAACATATAAAGTCCGCTTATGAATAGGGTGAAGAACAGATAAAAACTGTTTTGTGAAAAACAGCTTCAAACAGTCAAATGTACGGAGAAAGTCTGTTAAAAGAACTGGGAGTTTTTGCAACGGGTGTGTGACAATTAAAAACTGAAAAAATCTGTATTTATACATAAATAATTTTTCTCTGTTAAAAAAAATGATCTTTCTGCAGAATTTACAGTTACTTTTTACGATGTAGAGATATTCTGACCCCCCATACATACCTTTATTATGGAAAACACAACTGATTAAAAGATAATTATAATAGAACCCTAACAATTTATTAACCAGAGACACATCGAAAATTTTAGTTAATCTGTATACAATTTTACTATTTAGTAGTAAATATTTAAACAATATGGTATGAGTAAAATTACTCAAAACTATTAGTGGCTAAATTAATGTTTAATAAAAACAATTACTTGTATTTATTTTTCTATCATAGCAATCGAACATCATGAAAAAAAATCTTTGATAAATTTTGATTTTAACTATTTAATTGTACAGTCAAATCGCAGTCAAATTTCAAAATCATCGTAACAATGCTCGGAAAAATTACCATACTATATGGTTAAAAAAACATTAATATGGTAAAAAAACATTGATTAAATTAATTTTTCTGTTTATAAATGTAGCGGTGTACTGGAAATTCAGGTTATCAAAATTGCAGTTCTTATTACCATGCATTTGGTAAAAAATTCAAATGATGGTTTTTATGCCATGCTATAGGTCATTAGGGAAAAATTACCTCTTTTTTAAAATTTTTATCATTTATTATAAAACCATATTTATTTTATTGCTAATTTTACCAAAATCAATATCAGAGTATTTTACAAAAATCCAAAATTACAGAGCTTTTTAGTGTAAGACCTATTTAGTGAGCTAGTGCTCTCTTAGAATCCGAGAATTCTAGTAGTTTTGACCATTTTGGTTCTGAGTGCGGTAATTGGATAAAACTTAATTGAATTGGATGTAGGAAGTAATAGCACGAAGTCAGGATTAAAAAAACAATATTTGGTTCATCGGTTCACTTAACAGAGGATTAGGCATCAGATATTTAGGTTTTGACGGTATGGCATATATATATATATATATATATATATATATAT